TATTCTGTGGTAGCTGCTTCACTCTATGAGCTGACCGACGACCAAGTGTGTGCACGACGAGACTTGTCTCGGGCGAAGGAATCTTTCGAGATCCTGAAGATTGTGTCTACACCTCTACTCAGACACCCGGATCGGACAAAACCTTTTGTGATCATCCCGCATGCGAAACAGTGGGCCGCTTGTGCAGTTCTAGGACAGATGCATGACGGACTTGTCCAACCGGTTCGTCTCACGGGGCGTGTCCTGAGTGACGCTGAACTCAAGTATCATATTGCTGAGAAGGAAGTCCTTGCCGTAATGCGAGTGCACCATGTGTTCAAGAATGTGATCGAAGGATGTCCGCTGATAATCTACACTCGACATTCAGTGTTGAAGTGGGTCATCAAGTCTAAGACCTCTGAAGGCCGTCTGGTGCCATGGGGCGTCGCTCTCTCGCAATATGACTTGGAAACTCGGAAGGTCATTCGAGATGAGGATGGTTTAGCTGCTATTATGGGCGTAGGTATTACGCCCAGGGATCATTTGGATGAAGTCGCCGAAGTACTCATTCCAGCCAAGGGGCGCGTCAAGCCGCCTCCAGTCGTGAGTGTCGAAATGCTCTCGGAAGAGTACTCCGGAGTAGTCCTGAATTTTTATGGTGCAGCCAAAACTTCCACGAGGAAGGGCAGCTGTGGATGCATTCTGTGGCAGTTACCTAAATGGAAAGTTTTGGATGCTCGAGTTTACATTCTGGATGGAGTCACCGTCAACGACGCGGAATATTTCGGGTTGCTTAGAGGGCTGGCGATGGCTTTGGAAAGAGGAATTCGGGACATAGTCGTCGTGGGTGACTCGAGAATTGTGATTCAACAGGTCCAAGGTCTGATTAATTGTAATCAACCTAACCTACAAAGGAGACTAGCTGAATGTGAAACCCTGAAGAAACGTTTCAGACGGTCCGATTAGTACACATGAAGCACGAGTTCAACCAGGCCGCTGATTACCTGACATCGAAGACTCTTGTCCAGTGAATCCTGGATTGTTCAGGATGATCTCGAGAAACAACACCTGGAGGTAGTGTCTAAGATCCGCGAGCAGTTGGTGAAATCGTCCGAAAACATAGACGTTCCAGTTCGCAGTGGAGATGTTGTACAAGACCCTGGCGAAGAAGATGGCAATTCAGGCACGAGACATGGTCTCGGCCCTGAATGTGCCCCTCTGCCTTCCACAGCCCGAGTCATGGCAGTACTCACGAGATCACGACCTCAAGAAGCTGATGACGATGAGGTTGCACCCATGGGACCGCTAGAGTTTCAGGCTGAACGCTGGAGACGGATTACGGTTCACCAAGAGGAAGACGAGTATCTAGCGGAGATAAAGGCGTTCCTGAATGACGACCTGGATAGGTTCTCATCCACGCGCTTGAAGAAGATCAGTAAGGTTGCCGATCTGTTCGTTCTGGATGACCGAGGAGTGCTGTACAGACTTCCACATTCTGTTCGAGGAAGACCACGAGACGCCATGGATAATCTGAGATTGGTAGTCCCGAGTTCACTCCGAGAAGATATGTTGCATCACGCGCATGAACACTTCCAAGGTGGACATCAAGGGATCACTCGGACGCATGAAAAGTTACGTACCGAATTCTACTGGCCCGGCATGTATGCGGATGTCCAACATTTTGTGAAAGAATGCGTGGATTGTGCCAGTGGAAAAGGGGCGCCCCCGAATGCTGGACCTTCGCCAGGGAATATTGAACCACGATATCCTTTCGAAGCAGTTTCTATGGATTTCGTGACTCACATGCCCGAGTCAGCCAGGGGAAACACTTTTCTCTTGTTGTTTCAGGACATGTTTTCAGGCTATGTGATGTGCAAGCCTATGTCATCCACTACCGCTTAAGATGTCGCTGAGGCTTATGAAGAGCAATTGCTTCAGAGATTCGAGGCGGCTTCCATGATACGACACGACCAGGATCCGCGTTTCATGACGAAATGTTCACAAGGTTCCGAGAACTCTTAGGTAGCCGACAACGTGCTACA